GCTGTGGTTTAACTACGTTCCTGGACAATGAACGTCACTTCTGATTTCTTTGCGAATTCTTGAAATATCTTCACTTGACTGGGCTGATGTACACGTCTTTGAGGAGGACACAGTTCGGCGCTAAGAAACCAGAGGACACTAAGCAAAGCCCCAGTGAAGTTATATAAATGAATCACACACACTTGTATAAACATGTTTCAAATAATAATTAAATTGCGCGGAACTGTGCAATTAGATTACTAAAAAAAGCCAAAAATATAACAGAAGAGAATATTTATCATTCAAGTTGCTGTATTGGCTTCAGTAGCATACAAACTTAAGAAAGAATGCACCATTTATTGGTTGTTCCGTCCAGTGATGCCACCCATACGTAGTGAAAATGTTAGCTCGGGAATGCAGCGGCTCTGACCAGACACTAAAAAAATGTTTTCGTGGTTTAATAATCCGTGAGAATTTTATTTTGATTACCACGTGTTCTCTGAAGGCGTTGCGCTCTACTAAGTCAAAGTCTCAGACCAGACGCAGTTGATTTCGAAGTGAATTGGTGGAAATGCGTCATCAGTGTATCTGATCGCTGCTATCTAATCCATTTATTATTCGGTGCTTGGAAAGTTTGAATGATAAATTTACACGAAAAAGAAAGACTTTTTGCCAGCGAAACTAAAGGGACTGTGAAGAAACTGTGTAATGAAGATATTCGTAGTGAGTGCAAATAAGTTTCGCTGTTATGATGACAAAACGAAGAGTGCGATTGGCGTGACATGTAACACGCACGGGAAGTACTAAAAATACGTACGAAGTTAAGTCAGAAAACTTGAGACGTGTACATGGGAGAACTTTTATTGATCTTAAAGACACAGTTCTATCGGATGTGATTGGATTCAAGTGGCTAGGATCAGGGTCTGATGGTGGACCCTTGCGAACGCGGTAATGCACCTCAGGGTACCATGAAAGAGGTCTCCTTTGGTCTACTTGAAGCACACACTTTTACATTTTCCTTCGAGTGTTATTAACGCATTACGTCTTTACGAAATGCGTTTCTTTAATTGAATGTATCCGAGAACATGCTTCAGTTTAATGACGCGCCTTTGTCAAAAAACTTTGGATGTTTTTCCTGTGTCTTTATTACCTACAAAACGAATCTAGGGAAACTTTGGCCATGTGGCGTAGTGAGATGCTCTGTCGCGTGAAATTTCATCGCTTCAAACAACTGCTGGTGTTTCATTTTTTATTTACAGGGACTGTATTACGTCTGAAATAGCTTCAATTAGATCACATGATCTTCAGTAGACTTTTGGCCTATACAAATGCAATATCCTCTTCGTTTACATGACAAAAGGAGACCCTTACCAAGTTGAACCTTTGTGAGTAGATGAAGGCAGCGCTTGGCGACAGCGAGGACCTCTGTGGGTCGGATGCCACACAAGAAAATGAAAGTCTCGGCACAATGGAGACGGCCATCAATCTCCGAGAAAGAAGGCCCTGCCCTGATAACAGGAAATCTTGCCCGGATAAGTAACTTTAAACCACAAATATTCCATCCAGAAGAAAAACAATTTCGAATGGACAGGAGATGTGTCTCAATGAAAAATGATCACTCGGTGGCTGTTGTCACCCGGAGATACGACGTCGTGTCCCGGAATGGAGTCCAAGTGTGTCTGTCTCAGGTCATCGATAAGTCGCAGACAGGCCGTGCGTGTTGCCTGGTGCTTCAGGCGCGCGGGCCACTGCGTCTTTGGTTGAGACAAGGTGCAGTCCTATAGAGGGACAGGCATAACGAATATTTCAGTCTGAAGCTACTCGATTGAAGGATGAAACGTCGTGCGGTGCACCCTGGGTATCGGTCGCAAGAACAAACTAAACCCTAACGCTCTCAGAGCCACTGAAACAGAGAAAAGAGTTTTAAAAAGCGCGTTTGGTGAGTGGGCAGTGTCTTCGCGGATTTTAATGGAATCTTATAATTACGTCTATCGAGAATTATACTGTGAGCGGGAGACGAGGCGGGGAGCGAGGATCTGAAGCAAATGGACCACCACGCAAGGCCACTGACAGATCCTCGACCTGAGAGGGCGACCGCGACATTATCACAGGGCCAGAACGAATCACTGAAGCTTTTGTATACTCGGAACTGAACTCATCCTCGTGCGATTTAACTTTTCCACGGCGATGTGATCTTTGTTGTTGGGCGGCTGAATGCCAACGTTTCGGAGGAACACGCGTCCTTAGTCTTCAGGGTTGATAATGGTGGAAGTACGTTCCTTTGAAGCGTCTAAGAATGCGGACGACATGAAAAGATGTGAATATTCTGGAGAGAAAAGCGGCTTTAGCTGTAAGCTTATTTGACGGCGATGAACGCTTAAGAATAATAATAATAGAATGGCAAGGAAGATTTTTACTGTAGGAACTGCTGATAACACGAAAAAGCGCTCTCAGAAAGTTTTACCGATCGGTATGGCAGGTTCCTGTAGTGGTTACACTCGTCCGAGTTCGCAGCAACTGACCTCTGTCCTGACTGAAATGTTTTCGATTTATTTCAGACTCCCGTGAAAGTGTCATGAAACAGGTCACGGCTGGTTCATTCAGGATCCTTTAATAGCTAAAGCTACACGAACTCAGTTTCTTTCGTGATTCTCTCCTGTCACTGACAGGAACGCCTCAGACTGGTTAACGCTTAGCAGTAATAATTGCTGTCGCTGTGTGTTTCGCACAGTTTCTTGTGGCAATTCGGCTGAATGACTAACTTGTTCCTTTAATTAATTAATCTTGTCCGTCTGATCACAATTTAAAATTAAGATAATTAAAATACCATGTGATGTTCTTATCGAAACATTCGATTTACATTTAGAACATCATTTTCTCACTACATGTTTCGGTTCTTAGATGAACCATCTTCAGGTGTATAAAATTAAAATTATATAAACTTAAAACTTAATCATAATTTCTTATAGGCAACTTTTGTAGTTGTTTTTCAGTTATTAGTGATGTTCACTTCCAGATTCCATTTTGATATATTTAAAGTTGTTCTATATATGTGCGTCGTGTTGAAATAAACTTTAGGTTGGTGAATGTTTTTGTTGATGTTTTTATATCAGCCAGAGATGTGAGGTGTAGATGAGTTCCGACTGTCTGGAAGTACTATCGTATTGGAACTTAATTATCTTCATTTTAAATTTTAAATTGTGATCAGACGGACAAGATTAATTAATTAAATATGTAATTTCACAATATGACGCAACTGTTATCATCTTATAACTTGTTCCTGTACGAATTTCGCCGAACCAAAGCAACCTTCTGTGTCACGTGTTTCCAACGTTTCTGTACAGAGAGCAGCACTGTGCAGATGCTCAGCTGAAAGTTCTGTCGGCAGCGCGGTGGGCCTGTACTTCCCGCTGCCTTTCGCAGTTACTCCAATTTTCCAACCGGTTTTACAGATATCGTCATTATCACCGAGGAGCTGTCATCTCTTTCGTGGACTACTCGTGTCTCCTTTTCCTGTTATCTGTACATCATTGCTATCCAGTTAGTGGTCCCAACGCGCTCTGTGATTGCTTTCTTTCTCTGGTATTTCCTTGTCGGTGGCCAGAAAACTCTCGTTAATGTAATTTTTCAACCGAGAACTTTCCTGTTTTGCAACTCGCAATTCGTTTTGGTTCACCTCGCTTTGGGGGGACTCCCCCCATCCTTTGCTTTCTACAAGTTGATGGGGACTATGTGGAAAAATAGTATGTGTAAAGAAAACATTGATTTATATTGTCACTAAATTTGAGCCATCTTGAATAAATATGTTCTGAGGAAAAAAATGTGGGGCATTACTTAATGAGCGACCCTCGTACCTAACGAATTAATTGGAGTTCCTAAGTGAACTGGCAACCTCAGATTTTCTCAGAATTGTGTAGCATACAGCAATGTCGTATTAAATAAAATGCATTCCCGTTTGTAAAGAAGACTTTATTTAACAGACGAGGACGTAAACAATAAGATTCGTGTTAGACGTGTGGAATTCTGAAGACCATGAAAGCGTAACGACGTTGCTAATGAACGTTCTCAGTCCGAAGTGGAACTCGGATCATGCTTAGAAATGTAAAGATGGAAGATTTAGTAGAAAGTTTGCATGTCTACGAACACAAGTACTTTCTGTAGAGATTGTGATTCGACAACTATTAGAGAAAATGTTGGAGTGCATATGCTTATGACTCAGTTGGAAGAGAGGTACTGTGTGGCATTTTGATTAGTTTAGAATACCAAAGAAACTTTTTAGGTTAGTTAAGATGTTTATGGACAGGGTATCTCGCACAGTTTGTATAGGTAAACTTCTGTCGGATCGCTTCCCAATGTACAATGGCCTAAAACAGGGGGATGCTTTATCCAAAATGCATTTTAATTCTGCTCTTGAACATGGGTACTATAACCAAGACTGCAGAAACTCTCCTAGAGGCTAGCAAGGAAATAGGCAGGCAAACCTAAATACATCAGCAACGTAACTCATAATTTGAAAGTTTTTCAGAATTTAAGTATCTGGGAACAGGAATAACAGATAGAAATGAGGTCCATGATGAAATTAAGAGTACAATACATTCGGGGAACATTGTTTTTATTCAATTTAAAACTGTTATCATCCCTTTGTTATCCAAAACACTAAAGATCAGGATATATAAAACAGTAATGTTGTCTGTTGCCTTGTATGGTTGTGAAACATGGTTTCTTACCTTGAAGTGAGAACGTAAATTACAAGTGTTTGAAAACAAGGTGCTCAGGAAATATTTGGTCCTAGGAAGAATGAAATAAGTGGGGAATTTAGAATGTGTGAATTGTACGGGTCACCTAGAACAGTCAAACCTAGTAGTCTTCGATGGGCTGGACATGTAGCACGCATGGGACCGGGGAGGCTAGGGGTGCATGCAGAATTTTATTAGGGAATCCTTCTGGAAAACGATCGCTGGCCAGACCAAGAAGAAGATGGGAGGTGGGCTGCGAGGTTGGTAAATGAATGGGCTGGACATGTAGCACGCATGGGACCGGGGAGGCTAGGGGTGCATGCAGAATTTTATTAGGGAATCCTTCTGGAAAACGATCGCTGGCCAGACCAAGAAGAAGATGGGAGGTGGGCTGCGAGGTTGGTAAATGAATGGCGATGGCTCAGGATCGTGGCCGGTGGCGGGCTTTGGTGTTGTCGGTGTTAGGGTGGCCACACACGCTCCGGCTTGCCGGAAGGCTTACGTCTCTGAAGACCAACCTTCCGGTGAACCGGAGCGTGTGTGATGAATTTGGCCGGAAACCGATTCTCCGATAAATCTGCAGTCTGGACTTCGTTTATCAACCATCACTTCTGTGTTGCTGGTAGACAGACAGTCTGCTCCATTCCCATTCGCAACATCGGCGATCTGCAGAATGACGTTACAGCCTGTACTCCTGCTTGTGCGATCCGAAGGGCTTGTTGTCTTCAGCGTAGTTCGGCGCGCTGTAACCGTAGAGGCCGTATCTGCCGAGGCCGTAGGGCAGGTATCTGCCATATTGCCGTAGCAGCAGCAGTACAAGTGGGTCACGTCCGTGCAGGTGGAAATGAGGCTGGGGTGCGAGACCTCCGTACCCGACGCCCAGAGCCGGGTTCGACAACAAGCTCTTCAGCAGCGTGCCGGGGCCGAGCAATGCTACGGAGTAGGGACCCAGTCCCAGCTGCTGCCCTAAGGGCCACTGTGCGCCTGGGGACAGATACCCCACGCTCTCGCCAGCTTTCAGGTCCTCCAACTCGTAGACACTAGATGGGGACACTACCGCCTCAGGGCGCGTGGAGAGGTTGCCAACTGTGAGCGGTGCGCCGCAGAGTAGGAAGACGACCTGCGATTTGAACATCGTCGCTATATCAGTCACTGAGGTTAATTTTAAATACCAACGGGACTGACAAATGAACAGGGTGATGAAACTGGGATTAAGGGCGAGGAGGTGACACGAGACCGGACAAATTCCCATCGCGAGCTTCATAATTCGTAAACTGATTCCTATTTCGCATTATAATGGCTATGAAATCTAGAGGATGGGTTGGACGGGAATGCATCACACGTGGGAAAGAATTCTTGTCTGCAAATCCAAAGGGAAAAGACCATTTGGAATTCCTGGGCGTAAATTAGAGGATAATATTGAAGTGTATCTTCAAGACGTTGGCTCAAGATATCCTCTAATGAACTTTGGGTTTCATAAAAGGCCGAGAATTTCTGAAAGAGGTTCCTGTGATATCATGAACTGTGGGTACAATGTATTCGGATCTGAGCACCAAAAGTTTCTTTGTATTAGGTAATATTGCCTCAGCCAAGATAATACCTAACGTCAGGCTGCAATAATTTAATTTCAGTGTGTTTTGTGGGTGTATTTTCCATCATCTTCTTACGTTCTGCCTCTTGTGTGAAATATTTTCGTGATATGATTGTTTTATTGCAAAAGTGCTATGACTATTGTTCAGTTCCTCAAGATCTGTTTGTGGCAGAGACAAGCCACAGCATTGTGGACCTGGCAAATAGATGGCCGACACAGGAAGGGACGGTCCATGTGAAACGTCCCTCGAGCAAGGGCGTCTTCCACCGGGCACATCATTATAATCATGACTTAATGACACTTTAACTTGAGACTGGAGTAAACATGGCCAGTCCTGCGTGAGATGGCTGAACATTGCGAGGCACTCAGAAGAAACCACGTGGGAGTCATGACTGACGCTTTGAAGGAGAGATTCGTCTGAGAATAACTTTTAATCATCCAATCATTATCTCAGATAATAGTGTGATAAGCGCGGAATGCCTTGTTGTTAAAGCAATCAGCCAGCAACAGCCAATTTTGTCTCATTGAGGAACCTCTAATTCCTATAGCACGACTTTCTGAAAAAATTTAAATTCAGTGACTTCGGGCTGTTTCAGTCCGGCTGCTAGTAGATGGAGCGATCACACAACTTACGCTCGTGGAAACACAACAAGAAACTGATAATCTTAGAAAACGTATTATTACCACAAAGTTAAATAGATTCTGGCGTTTTCTCCCTGTGATCTGTGGCTCGTCGACAAGAATCGTGAAATCCTGTTCGTTTCTTTCTCATGAATAAAATATTACACCGTCGCGTAACCCAGCATCTAAAAACCTACAGCTCTCCCGAACCAGTTAGAATTAACTAATAGTCTCTTAACTGGCAACAAATATCCCGCTCTTACCGAACAGAACGATTTTCCACTGTTTGCACGAAAGCTTTTTGAAGGCACTTGAATTCATTCCATTTTCTTCATAATCCGTTGCTACGTGATCCATATTTATGAGTTCTTCACACAATGCGCGTAAAATTAAGGCATACTGGGGAGGAACGTCTGTCCGTTCATCCAAAAGTTTTATGGACGTGAAACGACCTCTTAATGACGGCCATTCCTGACTGGCTTTTAGATTATTAGAACTGCTGATAGGATTCAACTTTTCTTCAAGGTGGAACGATACATTTCACGTGAAACTTGCACTCAACTTCAACTTCATCTCAAAAAAGAAACTGTCTTAAACGTGACTCATTTTACGATGTAAACATAGATCTCTTTGGAATCTACGACTTTAATTCGAAACGTAATTAGGTGTCACGAAGTTTCTCTGGATTATACTGTGACCCAGCTTGAAACCACTTGCCGCCAAAGGACACGCGTACCCAGTGGTCGTTCGACGAGGAAAGCAATCAACATCATAGTTTGATTAAAAGTGACGTTCGCACGAACAGCGCGATACTAGGATAAAACAGCATCAATAATATATAATGTAATTCCCCACGTGATCTCATTGAACGTTGAGAGCCAAGAACTTGTAATGCGATTACTGATTGACTGACGGGCGACTGAGCACGATAAGAGGGACCTCTCAGGGCTCTTTGCTGTGGTCTCGCCCCATTTGTTCTAGCTGAGAAGAAAACTGAGAAGCAAGTGATGAATTGTGATGCGGCATTGACTAGTGCTCAAACCGACTCACTTATACAGGCTGAGTCAAAAGTATGTTTACGGACTCCGTGTTCGTGTTCCAGGATTAAGAAAAGAGAGGAAATGTTCCTAACAGACAAGGGACTCAGCCCGCTGATGAAAGTCCGACAAAGTTTCCTACAAGAGTATGAAGGAATGCAAAGATTGAAGTGTTCAGTACTTAAATGTTGATGGTTTAAATGAAGTTGGAATGCAAAATCCTCTGGGCTATGCTCATTTGTTGATGATTCCTCACCAGAATGCACGACAAAGTCACAATTTAAGGACAACTCATAGCTTAAATAATTCGTTATGATCTGTGGCAAAGATGAACTAAGTCATTGGGAAAACAAACCAAAATTAATTCCACAAAGAAGCTACTAGCGTATTTAATAGGGGAGTGCTTCTTGTAGGTTAATTTGGAGTCGCCTTCCCAAATGCGCAGAGATTAAAATACATGCAAAACAGTCATCCCACCTGTCATCATCTAAGAATGTGAAATCCGGTGAGAAAATATCACAACCCGGAACACCTTGAAAAAGGGCAGTATTCGAAGCTGGAAACGGCGAACAGACTGGAGGAGAGAGACAAGTTCGTGGTTTGGAGGTTCACAGTTTGTGAACATCGCCCGAAAAGTTATTGCTAGCATGGTGGCATTCTGGAGGATCGGATGAGATTGGTGGAACATGTAGAGCGCGCTGCAGGGATGAAGAATATATAACATTTTAGACGGGAAGCCCGAAGACAGGAGACCTCTTAAGAGGCTTAGATCGGAGGCTTATATTAAGATGGGAATTGAAGAAAATGTATGTGAGGTCGTAAAGTGGGTTGATGCTGCCAAAGTTGGGCTTCAGTCTGGGCTCTTGTGAGCACGATAATGTACTTTCGGACACCATAAAACGCTGGACCAGCTGAACCACCCTGGAAGATTACTCTTCGACTTGGGGGCAGTAAACTTACTGCGTGGATTTTACAGTGAATTGAAGTGAACGAAACTTATAAGTAAAACACACACACACACATTAATAATATTGTTTCAAAATACTGCAAATGACGTATACAGTGAAGCCTTACGTCGAAAATTAGTTGATCCCTTAAACTTAAATAAGTTAAACTGAAATGCAGACGATTCGACAAGGTATAATGTTTAAGGTTTACATGCGTCATGTTTGTGTTTTGGATTAACATATATAATAAAATACAGGTCAATACACAAAACTATATTTGGGTGTTAAAATTTAAAATTTAAAATTAGCGCTATTCATCACTATAAGGATGTTACATTTGAGCGCTTTCATTCATTTCACAACATGTTTCGATGTAATACATCATCTTCAGGTGTTGTTTTTTATTTAAAACTATTCCATATTATAATGCATGCCTTTAAATAATTTAATTTATGGTCAAAAAATGTGCGTATACCAATATTTAAATTTAAAACGGAAAATATTGAAATGCAATGCAAATATAAGATTCAATAAATTATTGAAAGGCATGCATTATAATATGGAATAGTTTTAAATAAAAAACAACACCTGAAGATGATGTATTACATCGAAACATGTTGTGAAATGAATGAAAGCGCTCAAATGTAACATCCTTATAGTGATGAATAGCGCTAATTTTAAATTTTAAATTTTAACACCCAAATATAGTTTTGTGTATTGACCTGTATTTTATTATATATTTTAAGGTATAATGTGTTTCATTTGTAGTTTAACCATCTAAAACCCAATGGAAAATACAACTGTGACTACGTCACTGATCAACTACTCTGCATTTTGGCCACAGATTGTATTGAAGGGTTTGGCATAATTGTTAGTACAAACTGCGATTGGTGTTGGTTTATTTTTGTTTTCGAGTTACGTCCTCTGTCATTAATTGTTACAAACGACCAGTCATGACGGAACTGATACCGACACACTTCAGCTACGGCTACAGTCCACAGATCACGAGAAAAGCCCTGGTAGGAATGCGATATACGCGCATGCGCAAGATTTCGCGGTGAGCGACTGGCGAGACTTTTTGCGTGTGAAATACGTTCGATGTAGGACTCTGTTACAGAATAGGAACGGCGGTGGGTAAGCTCTCAAGAGGAATTCAAAGAAATGGCAGAGAAAGGAGAGAAGGAGGTTGAGGATCAAGACACGAAGGTAATCATTTCCGGTTGTACACCAGTAACTACAAAACTAGCCATCAAAATTTTCCAAGAACTTGTGACAAAATAAATACGAGGCTCGTCCACAAAGTAAGTTTCCCTGGGGCCGTTTACAGAAACAAAACACAATTTCATGGAAATATTTATTGCAACAGATACAGCAAGTGTCCAGCTATTTTTCAACATATTCGCCACCGGAATTGAGACATTTGTCATACCGTGGGACCAACTTTTGAATACCTGTGTCGTAGAAGTCTGCCGCCTGGGATTGGAACCACTGTGTGACAACCATCTCCGCCTCTCTGTCATTCTCAAAACGCTGACGCTGACCGGACAGGAATTTCTTGAGGTGTAGGAAAAGATGGAAATCACTGGGAGCGAGGTCCGGGCTGTAGGGTGAATGATTAAACCCCTCCCAGCTGAACTCCTGCAGGAGACTTGCTGTCCGTCGAGCCGTGTGCGGCCTAGCGTTATCACTGACCGCACTTCACAGTCGGCGGGAGCTGGAATAAGAACCTCCATCTTCAACAGCTGCAACGATGCTACTGTGAGAACTCGGGAAGTACCGTTAGTGCATGCGCCATGCTACGTCATTGCTCTATCACGTACGCACAGTCGCTTCGCGCAATATAAGGTTTGCTAGCTGTGGGACGAGTGGGAAACTTACTTTGTGGACGCGCCTCGTATATAGCACAGGCTTGTAGATGTGTGGACAGAATATGAAATTGTGTGCAGTAAGTTTCAAGGTCCGTAATACAGAGAGCGATACGAATTCAAAGGAGAAAATTCTCTGTGATCAGTCGCGCGCGTGTGTGATAGTAGCCCTTGGTTACATAAATATGACACTTTTGACGAACAAAGTTCCATGTTCTAGCTTAGTTTACTTAGTATTTGGGTGCGCATGCACTCAACTTACCGCGTAGGCCCATCGTCTCGCCATATCTCGCGACTTCCACAGAGGCTTCCTTTTACGTCTCGCGCTGGGGCCTTCGACGACCTAATTTTCGCAACTGAATGGCCCTGATAGCAACAAACAGCTCTCTATATAAGCCGCTACTTTCTATTTTCTTGTCATCAAGAACTCTGATAAAAATTTAGGTACCCATTTAAGTGCCGTTTACTGGAGATTCGAAGTTCGCATGAGAGCGAATGAGGATGGGTTCCGTCGCGTTCTTCCCGTGGCACTCTGCTAATGAGGCTCGAGTCAAAGGGACGGTAATTATTTATCATTATCTGTGACTCTGCAGTCTTGACCTCCTCCCGTACGGGAGGTTACTCGACCTATTTAAACTTTTGATAGGACTCCTTGGAACGAGACCTCTACTTACACAGAACGGCACATCACAATTTTTTTGTGAGATTCCTTTCTTTGGATGCTGTATGATCGTCACTTGTTTTCTGATCTTGTATTTTTCATAGTCTCAACTATTATCCGAACATCCTCCAGTCCCATTTAGGTCGGATATTCGGGACTCCACTCTACAGGGACTTTAATTATTGTTCGTTTACCGTCAGTGTTTAGTTGGTAGGCCTGTCGTTTTCTAATTCAAAATCTTCTCTTCCTAACCATCCGTAAACTGACCTCAGAAAGAAATAAAATGTAGTCGCCTCCTTAAATTCTGTTTCTCACACAAATTCCTTACTCTCTAGGCAGTTGTCTTTCAAATTCACTCAGCACGTAGCGATATCTTCAAATCTCAGGCCAGAATTTATCCGTGTGACATCAGCGCTGTTTCTTTAGGAAATGGAAAATATTTTCGGTCTAATTTCGGTGAGCAGTAAAAGTCTGTGAAATTCGTGTGGTGAGTGGGGAGTATCATCACAATGTGGTGAAGAGTGTTGATCCGATCTGATTGGTGCAGCCATAACGGTAATGCTATGAGACGTTCTGAGTTCTTCTCTGGAGCCCAGAGATCGGCTAATCTGACGACAATATTTGTGAGATTTCGTCCTGGGGAAGTGAAATTCTCTTCAGGCCTAAATCATGTCCTTATTCAAAGCTGTGTCACCCATACAGTTGATAAAGCGTCGTTAAATACACTGCAGATATAACTAAACATTTGCAACTTTAAGTGCTATTAATGGCATTAAAATTCACCGTTACGTGTTGTTGGACAGACCGCGCTCATACTCGCAACGAAAACTACGTTCTTCCATTAGCGTCTCCGGATTAGTAACAGAACGTGCGAGGACGACCGGAAATGTCGTACAAGGTACTTTCACAGTCAGCCTCGTTCGCCTCCCGGATGCACGTTTGTTGTCCTGTACTAAGAAAGGATTTTCAGACCCGCCCGTGTTCTGCACCAAACATGGCGTAACTCCATAAAACATTTGTAACACTAACACTAGATGAAATAGGACAATTTGTGAGTGATGATTTGAAACGTACAGTGCTACAAGGTTATGATGTGAGCTGCTTCTGCTTGTGAATTTGTTGTGTATTCTGATGTTGAATATCATTAATTATGAAGAGAAATTATTATTCTTATAATAATATTTGTTGCCATTTATATTATTCGTCAGTAACAGTTTGTTTCTCTGCATGCCTGCATAATAGATGTGCAACTCAGTTCCATTTGAAAGGGTTGCCATCAAACCTAATTTTTAATTAATATTTAATTAAATTTTAGGTATATATTATTTAAATCTTGTCCGTCTAATCACAATAAATTCTTATTAAATATTAAAATATTACAATAATTAACATTTAAAATATTTAAAATATTAAATGATGTTCTTTATCGAAATAT